TGCTCATGATGCTGGCCCTCGGCTTGGGCTGGCTGAAACGCTGGCTGGCTGATGCTCATGATGCTGGCCCTGGGCTGGCGCTGGCTGAAACGCTGGCCGGCTGGTGCTCATGATGCTGCCCCTGGGCTTGCGCTGGCTGAAATGCTGGCCCGCTGATGCTCATGATGCTGGCCCTTGGTTTGGGTGGCTGAAACGCTGGCCGGCTGATGCTCATGATGCTGGCCCTCGGCTTTGGCTGGCTGAAAACGCTGGCCCGCTGATGCTCATGATGCTGGCCCTTGGTTTGGGTTGCTGAAACGCTGGCCCGCTGATGCTCTTTAGGTTGGTCCTCGGCTTGGGCTGGCTGAAACGCTGGCCGGCTGATGCTCATGATGGCCCTATTGCACAGACCATCAAAACATGCGAGTTGTGGCATTCAGAGAGAAACTCCAGCAGCACAGTCTACGTCGAGTCTATTTAGTGGTGGGCTTGGTTCGGTGGGCTGACCACGCATGAAATCATAGCCGAGGTGATTCAAGACGGTGGCTGCCTGATGCAACTTTGCTTCAGTTCATTCCGGGAGGAGATTCCCTCATCCCAAAATGTCCCCGCTTAATTCATCAAACTTGTCTCTATCTGGAGCTAGACGCGTACCATAGGGAATACTTGTTTTTGGCAGTGGGTGGATGGGAATAGGGTGGTTGATGGAGTGCATCTTATGCGATGCTTGCCAAATATTCCCCCTGACCTAGCGGGACTTGTGGAGCATTTGAGTTTTGGAGGTTGCCTACTTGGACCCTGTCTGAGAGCCTGTCTCTCAGCTTTAGTTTCAGTCCTACGGTAGCTGCTCACAGTAGAGCACTGTTTGTTGACCTTTGTGCCTTTCATGGTGGACTTGCATGATGTGCAGAGGAGGGACCCTTGGACATGCCCAACTCCCTATGAGAAACAGTTTTGTAAGTTGCAGATCAGTTCCTGAACGGGACAATGAGTTAGCTTGGAATCTGGGACCGTAAAGTCGAGGAGTGCTGTCATGGTATCTTGCCTTGAATCATGGACCTGTTGCTGGTTTCATTACTGTTGTCCTCTTGAATGTGTTTGGGAGCTGCTGAAAAAATTTCAGGCCATTGCTTCAATTAAGGTCCTATTTAATGTCTTTCGGCCTCGGGCGCTACAGTATGAAGATCATCTCCTCTAGCCGTGTCTTCAGATCATGAAGGACTCTGCAAGCCAACTACTGGCTCAAGTGTCTCTGCCAAGCTTCCAAACCAAGTTCTACCATCATGCAGGGCTCCAACACGGAATGGCGGATGTCTTAGTATGTAGTTATGGAAGCCCCGGGAGCATTTCCATTCAGAGGTAGTGTTGGTACCCTGTGTCTTCCCAGTATACACATTGCATGGCTTTCAGTCCTCTGCAGCCCGCACATCCAGGTATGCGTCGGACGAGCTCTGCGCAGATGAGCAGGCCTCTTCAACACTGGTGGAGGAGCCTGGTACCGTATGACTACATTCAAAGTAATCCAAATTCCAAACTCACCGAGAATTGCTCCAGAGTTTCCAACCCACTGTGTTCGCCCATCTGCGCAGGTCGTGCTGGCTGTTGGGGCCCCAGCAAAGGGGGCAAGTCTACAGGAGGATTAGGACCACATAAGCACCAGGATCCCCAAGGATCCACCTTTCTATCCATCTTTCTCCGCCTATGCCAGGCGAAGGGAACTATACTTGCGGAACCTGGGGTGTTTCAACGATACCCCCAAAGTCGTGACAGGAAGGTATCGCCAGAAGGTTTTCAGGGATGACTTCTGCCATACTGAATGCTTGGGTTTCCAAAACAAGTCACTGTTTTTTTTTGAAGCTATAGTCACCAGGTAGAATATGGCGTCGGAGTATATTATAACAAGATCCCCATATACCCCATATTGTATCTACTTAAGGGGGGCTCTAGCCCATTAGACTGGTGTTGAAACTGGTGGTTCTGCCTCTTCTTAAACGGTTTGCACCTGTAGGCCACGGTAATTTTCAAGTCAAGTCAAAACCTGCCTTGATTTAGGGTTGCTTCGGCTTTGATACCGTTTATTCGGGATCCTTTCATAACCGGCTCAGGGTTCCAGCTTTTTGGGAGTTGCCTCAGAAACGACATGTGGGGTTGTATAGTAACCCTGCATCTCTACGTTATGTCATGAGTGTCTCAAGATAGCGTTTGACCCGTGTTTTGTATACAACCCCATGTGAGCTGGTCATTGGCAATCGAGCAAACTCAGGGTGAGGGAAAGGCCCCGTTTCAGAATGATATATCGTTGCAAGGCAACCGCCAGGTGTCTATCCTTTACATGAAATACCCCATATGCTAATGGCTTGAACAAATTCCGCCACAAGGGAAGCATGACTTTAAGCTGGAGTCTAATGTCAGCGTCTGGCTTGCTTTCCGAAAAACCGAAGCAGATAAGCTTAAGTAACACAAGGATCCCACGTTCAGCGTGCAAGCCCCAACGCTAAAGCCTACGTAAACCATCATGAAGCCCTCTTCATCCCCGACTTCAGAGGCAAAGGCTTTGCATTTTAAAGGGCCCAAGGCTTGGATATTTCAGGTCAGGATTTTAGGGTTGAAAGTTTCGAGTTTGGCGTTGGGGCTTCGGTTTGGGGTTCGAGTTTGAAGTTTCGGGTCGAAGGCTTAGTCGTTGAGAAGCACGGTCTTGATGTAAAAACTCAAGCTTAGGCATGCGCATGAGACAGCAAGTAAACAGTGGAGCAGGACATGAAACCTAGCCTTTTACATCCAAGCTACATCCTTCTGATACATCCGAGGGATCCCTCCAACTGTTCCCTTGTAGCTTACAAGCCAAGCAGTGGGACAGGTTGGAAGACCTACAGTACTGTTCATGTACAAGGCCCGAACACTTTATCCTAAAGAGAAAAAGGCGGAAACCTACCCGGGACCCTAAGCACTGAACCTAAAGCTTCCCTAAGCTCTACGGAAGCAACCTAGGCAGTGGAGCAAGATGGCAATGCAATGCGCTATGCCTCTCCTTCCTTGAAAGCGGACCCAGTCTTTGCGTCCCCCGGCCGGATTCATAGGATTCATAGGAAGATTGAGGCTTGCCCGCGCGGTATGCCTCAGCTGGCACACGAGGGTACCTCCACCCAAATGGGCCTAGGAATTGCCTGGAAGATGTGTAAAACAATAGCTGTTTTGGGTGTTTGAAGGGTTGGGGCCATCACTTCACTTAGTTTGGAGGTCCAGGTAGGGCGGTAGAGTGGATGCAGTTTTTGGATTTGTGGAGTAATTAGTATTGGGGGTCGAGCTTCATGCGATGAATTTGAAGGATAGGTTTTGAGGTTACGCTTTAGGGCCTAGCAAGGATTCTTTGGTGGGCCCAAAACCTAAGTCGGGAACCATACAACGGTCGTAGCATAGTGTTAGGCGCCTCATTGAGAGGTGTGCGAAACAATCCTGATAACTGAAAGTCTCAGCGAAAAGGCAAAACAAAACATCCCTACCATCATTCGCAGAGGTCATGGCACCTAAGGCCACATAGGGTTTGTCATATCAACAGCAGTGCTGGGTAGGCCCCTGGGATATTTTTTATTTCCCTACTGGCTTTAATAAGGGGCCCTATATACTAATATTTGTCAAAGGACTTTAGGGGCCAACCCAGGGTGTCGAAGCCAACCCTAAACCCCTAAACCCTAATCCCTAGCCGAGTTTGGGTCCCAGTTTTGGACGCATTGAGGTTGGAAGCTGTGCGGAAGAGTAGCGAGGCGATCCTCTACGTGGCGAGTCTCAAGAACGACCTTAGGGTGGTGGATTTAGTGTTTACCTGAACCCCAAAGGTATGTAGAATAATGGCCCTTTAGGGCTATATTAAAGTGTTTGGCGCTATTATTTTACTTACTTTTGGCGTCCAGGTAGGGTGTAGATAGGGATTTGGGACATTAAGTATGGAGGCTATCGCGCGGAGATTTTGTCCAGCATCTCTTGACTTGATGGCTCAGTTACCAGGAAGGGACCATCCCTTGCAACATAGAACAGAGTGTGCAACTCCGTAAGAGGCGGCCTCAGCAAAGTGCTGTGGTGAAGTTTCTATCACTATGCCGTGCAATTAGCAATAGCCCCCACAATGCTTGCCGGAGGCTATGGAACACACAGCAGCATGTGACACTGAGGGATAGAAGCTTCGGATGTTGAGGGCTTGCGCTTCCATCTGGGGACCGGAATTTCACGGAAGCCGCCTGGTGACACCGAACAGTCATGAAGCGGGCATTACCTGTTTGTAGCTATTCTCTAGTATGTGTATAATCTGTTTTCTATTTGCTCTTAGACTCTTCCCTATTGCCAGAGTCTTACTTTTGGTCTTGTCCATCTGTGTGCCGGGAGACTCCATTCAATCTTCTGTCGTCTTTATGCAAGTCTCATTCATGACGGCCGCGTTTTTTTAGCACGCGAGCGTCGGCTGATTGAGTTCTGAATGGTGGACGTGTGGCCCGACAGCCCGTTTCCTGCGACCATCTGCAACCATTCCAGAAACTAGATACAAAGAATTGGGAAAGGACCTAACCTAGTTGCTGTTCTTGACATAGAAGACTTCCTCTTCCCAAGGGTAGGAATGTTACCCAGCCCAAGGAATACTGGGTTGTCTTGTCCAGGGCAAAAAATGTGATCCACCAGCCAAGGTGTCGAGAGAGCTTCGAATCTCGGCTTGTGCTTGATCATTTCAATTTCCAGTACTGTACCTATCGCGAGAATTTTTTCTGATTACTACTGGCATTACTCTATTATTATGGCTCAGCATGTTGAGATTGGCCCAGACCCTTGTGTGATTGGAACCATCTCGGATTCTTGTTTGGAGGCTTGAGGTTGTTGGGTTGGAGGATCTACTGCATGTCCGGTTAGACACTCCCCGGCTCTAATCCTGAAGTCCCACTCTCTAAACCCAAAGCTGTGTTCTAAAACCATCAAAAAAGCTTACTGTAGGAGCCAATGTAGTTGTCAGTATGGTAGGCCTAGTTTGCATACTTATACTTATGGTATGCGGTGGCTCAAATAGACCTCGACATGATTTTGGGAAGTATTCAGGCTTCTCTATTATTGCGTTTTCCTAGACTTACGGCTTAAGCGCTTATCACAGGTGAGATCGGGCTGTAACAACATATCTTCGACGCCAATATCACACCGCAGCAAGGGATGATCCTATTCGTTTTTGCAGATCGGACAGTCGAGCCAGGTGAACTTACACGATTTTGCGATCTAAACCTTGAACTTGGTTTAGGGAATAGGGCGCTTTGACATCAAGCCCAATCATGCCCTTAATACTGTACCCTTCGTTATGCTTAGGGTACTCAGACATCAACCTGCCCAGTGCATCCTGTAGCTGATCCGAGAGTGTCTTACTGCTGGAACGCTCTCGATCATGCGGTTTAGGGTTTAGGGTTTAGTTTCCAAACAGGGGGGGCCTTTTTGACCTAAGGTGTCCATTTCAAGTGTCATCTTCTTTGTCATTTGATTTGCCAGTACACCCTCAATCTCCGTAATTCCTAAACCCTGAACCCTAGATCTTACCCTTTCTACCCCATGTCATCCTTGCATAAGCCTTACATCGTCTATACACAGTCTTCATTACAACCCTAAACCCTTAAACCTATACCTGCCTCCAGTCTGTAAGAACTGGATATTTTCAATATAGTTTTATACAGCCCTTAATATCCCCTAATATAGACTGTTGCAGGGTTGGGGCAGTACCCAGCTTATATCCTCAACCCTAAGCCCTAAACCCCAAACCCTAAAGCCTAAAACCCCAAACCTTGAATCCTATACCCTAAACCTGATACCCAAAACCCTATACCCTAAACCTTATACCCTGAACCCTAAACCCTAACCCTATTATAGTTTTGGTGCGTCTACTATGCCGAGGCCAGGACAAGCAGTTCACGCTTCAAGCCGCCTTGAGTGGCTGCACCCTGCCGAAACAACGGAGAATCAAATGGGCAATGAATTTAGGCTTTAGGGCTTAGGGTTTAGGGTCCTCCTTAAAGGGGGTGATTTAGGCTTTAGGGTTCAGGGTTTAGGGTCTAAACTCAGTAAAGGGGGTGATTTAGGGGATTATAGGGGAGTATTATAGGGCTTATTCAGAGGGATACTAGGAGTCTAGACTAGGGTTCCAACAGACAATGAATTGGACAACCTAGGTCCCTTGAAAGGAGTCATAGGTATTATATGGGATTTAGCTTTGGCTGTATGGTGCTTACATGGGGATCTGTATGGGTTCAGAAGAAGGTGGTGGTAACACGCCCCAACCCCCATACCGCGAATCTACAACTAGCATCTATGGGTGGATTAGAGGGCTTTGGCAACCCGAAAATCTCTATAGCCTTCATATCACTTGAACATACCCCTTCTCAATGAAATCCTGCAGAACTTGAGGGCAGCCTTTTTGTGAATGGGGGGGCGCTCACATTGGGGGTTGCATAATATGCTTGGGGTATATGGGGGCCGATTATCCGGCTTGAAAACTAGCAGGTGGTGGTTCATATGATATGGACCCCAGAAAGACCACATTGAATTATGCAGTTGAATTATTCAGAAAGACATTCTGAATTTATGCAAGGGTTTCTGAAAAAACAGAGGGGCCCTTAGGGACCCTAGGATAGTTGGGATTGACAGGAGATAAGAGGAGTCCCCTTTAACCATTACAGTACGCACTATCAAACAGCAGACTTCAGTCTAGGAGTCTGATTCCTACTGGCAGGAACAAGTTTGTTTAGGGTCTAGGTTTTGGTCAGGGAGTTTTGGGATGCCAGGGAGTGTCCATATGGAGTCATTGAGTGTATAGGTTGGTTGTCCATTTTGGAGATTGTAAATTGAGTCATGCCCCCTTACAGTAGCTGTTGCCCCCATGGGTAATGGGAGTTAGCTTCATTAAACAGACCTCTCTGCTACAGTTGCTGCGAGGGGCCCAAACTATGAACAGAACTCGTGTTTAATGGGGTGTTTCTTGCACTGCTTCTCATCCCTCTCCCCCAAAAAGCAGCCCAGAATATGTCAGCTTGTAGGTAGGCCCCGAGGTCATTTGTTTGCCTTGTGTCTTCACTGATGATGTAAAGACCCAAGTGAAGAGCGTCAGTTAGCACCCATACCAACCCACGGCCAGCTTGTTGGGGAAGCATGGGGCTTGTCCCAGTTTTGCCTGACGGTTTTTCTAGCTTAAGATGTATTTCTGTGTGGATGCCGTATTCCGCAAGGCATTCAGCTAGCGTCGGAATGCAAGACAACCCTAAGCTACTTTCTTCGACCCTGGTGGAGGCAGTGTAGCCCAGCATATATCCCCAAAACACGCTAGAATCCCTACATCTACCTTGAACCCGAAACGTAAATTCATGTGCCGAAGCGCTTGGACCGATGCCACAAGCCCAGTTTACAAAGCACTAGCGCGGTCCGCGCACACCCCCAAACTAGGAGGGCTGAACAAGCCCCAATGAGGCTGAAGCCCTGTTGATAGTAACCCAACCATCCCTATGGTGGATACAGACCACCCTTGACTTATGGACTTAGTATACAACAGCACCATAATTCCCACACAAGTTTTTTCAGATCGACTGTACTAAGGCACTGATCTTGTGGGGGCCCATGGTAGCCCCTCCCTAAACTGATAAGCCTCCAACCTGAAACTGTAACAACTGGTCAGGTTCCAGAGATCTTTTAGATCCTAGACTTCGCGTTTGGCTGGACACTGGGCCATCGAGGGCCTGTTTTGCTTGGGATCTACTATGGGAGCCTACTGGTAATGATATAGGCCCCTGTATCCTGCTTAGGCATGAGTGAAGAGGGCTCGGGTTTAGAACGTCAAAAGAGCTGCCCCAGTAAGTAGAGCAGTCCTGTCATGATGAAGGTTGGATGCACAAAACTTGAAAGTGTGTGGCAGCCAGCTTCTGTTTATGAGCGATCCTGCACCTTCGGGGTGACATGCCTCCTACTCTTCCAAATGCCAGTACAGTCCTCCAAACCCTAAACCCTAACCCTGGACCCTGGAGCACGCTTTGCAAGTGGAGTTTGAGATGCACTGGGCCCCCCGTACAAGCGGGAATCTGCACCTTTGAAATATAGAGTTCAGCACGACAGGCTTTGACTACAACTGAGCAGTAGGCCTATAGTCCCCCTTAAGTAGATGGAATATGGCTTTGGGTATACTATAACAAGATCCCCATATACCCCATATTCTATCTACTTAAGGGGACTGTAAGCAGTGGCGGCTTTCTTGCGCGAGGAAGTGACTCTTAAGAGCCGCCTGCCGGATTGAGGGTTTGGGCTTTTGTATGTAGGGTTCGAGTTTGGGGTGCGAAATGGTCTTGCACACCTTGCATGCTGTAACTGTAACCCTCAGTGCGGAACCCAAAGCCCGTGTTCTTGACTTATTAAGCCCTACTAGGAGAGGTTAGGCGCTTTGGCTGACTTTTAGGTCATCTTGCGTATGACCTTCTTGGGTAATTACTATATACACTGTACACCCATCCACCAGACCTATCCTACTTGGAGCTCATTTGACTTGGTGACTGCGGATAACTGGTGTTGTCATCAACCAGTACGTACTCATCTGCGTAAATTCTAAAACGTCATGTTGGGGTGTTTTAAGGTTGTAAGCAAGCATCTAAGTAGTCACCAAGCTCCATGAATCTCCAAGTAGCATAGCTCAGGAGCAGCGGGACGAGCTGCTGGCACGGATGCGGGCGGCCATAGACGGACAGGATGTTTTCGGGGTGCGTGAGGCGGGATTGGATTTAGTGTCCTTTTGACATTGATGGGTGCAGGGGTTAGTGGTTAGATTGAAGTTTAGGGATTAGATTGGAGGTTGTGTTGTGGGGGAGGTGATGACTAGGGGTTACAGTAAAGTTGTTGAGGGGCGGCAATACAGTAATGTTTCCGTGGTTGCATCATTCAGGTTGTTTGCAGTTTAGTTCGGGTAGTTTCAAATCTTATATACACATATATATATATACGCGGTTGCCTAGAATACTAAACCCTAAGCCACAGATCTTCCAAGCTCCAAGCCCTAAACCTGGGCCTTTTGCATGGTCTCTTTTGTCCACTTGAGGCCCATGGTCATTCCTCTATGATGATCTTGACAGTTCAGGCTTCCTAAGCCTCTACGCCTGCACGACGGAAACCTGCCCATTGCGATTATTACTACTATTCATTATGTTTACTACCTTTTTCCTATTAGGGTTATATTGATGATTCTTTATTCCCACAAAGCTGCGGAAGGTCATCAAGGATGGGGAGGAGCATGGCCTTTCGGCATCTTGCTTGCAACTTGGGGAGTAGGTCAGATTGTGCTAGGCTTTTAGGCGTCAAAAAGGAGGGATATGGTAGTTTCCCTAAATAAGGGGCCCCAATATAGACACTAATATACTGTAGTCCCCCAAAAATACCCCTCATTCTGGAAATCCCCTATATTTGGCAGGGGCACACTTGAACTTGCACCTGTGACATTCTTAATCTGTGCCCCCAAAGAAGTGAGACCTAATTTCTGGAAACCCCCCATGGCCTTGCATAACTTGCAGGTGCGACTGCCAGAGACCCCAAACCTCCTGCCCAGTCAGGACGAAGACCTCTTGGAGCCCCGCCGAGCGCTAAAGAAGCTGGTAGCTGGGCAAGTTTTCAGGATTTAGGGTTTAGGGTTTAGGGATAATGGAAAAGAAAATGGAAACTACTATAGTATAATAGGGTATATGTTGGGGATATATTGGGGTTGTCAAGTTTGTTGTCCCCGTCATAATGCGGCCCCTGACTTATAGGGTACCAAATAGGAAACATAGTTTCGGGAACCCCCCAGGGAGAACAATATCTCGAAGTTGTTTTTCAGGTTTTGGGAGTATTGTAAATTATTCGGTCGTAGTGCAACTGCAGTGATCCGTGCTGAGAACCACGGTACACACCTCCAAGTCATCCAGTCCACGCTAATGATAGGGACTGCCAGAAAGAGACCTAGACGTAAGGCTGCAGGAATACCTCCAGTATAGGGCCTGTATAGGGAATATGGGGATACTGGAAAAGAAAATGGAAACGATTACGTTATAATAGGGTATATATTGGGGCTATATACAATAGTTCTATGTTTTGGCAAGACCTATACTACAAGAACTGCAACCAGATCTTTAGTACCCAGGTATTGGGTACTTGAACCCTGATGTGAGACTGTTAAGAAGGTGTCACCTGGGAGTTGACAAGGTTTGGCCGGTTCAGAAAGAGTGACGTGCCTCAATCTGCTGTTCAAGGAGGTATCTTCCACTGCTTAAGGACCCTACTGCCTAAAGTATCGTAAGTCTCCCCTATTTCCTGAAGCTGCAGGCAGGACTACAGAAAACTGCGGGTTTCGTTCGCGTTGTACACGCCGGCTGGCTTGAACCGCCGTCATCCGTTTGGTCATTTCAACCATGAAAATTCATCTCACAATCCTGGAGCGGCTGGGCCTAGGACAATAACTAACATGTCCCTGCGGCTCATGCTGACCGACCCAACTCCAAACCTGCAATCCCCACGCCTAACCCTAAACCCTACCCTTCCCACTCATTGAGACTGCCCATGCTTGAACCACGTCTCATAGCGGCAGGTCGTCTACATTACCGTTCCAACCTAGAGGCAAAAGCCAACTCAGCATAGCTCTAAACTTGAACCCCCACCCATGTGCATCGGAAGCCGGAAACCTCCAAAATCTTGCCGAGATCAAGTACAGTGAAGTCGGCAGCCTGCCCGGGGCCAAGCAAAGTTGTTGATGCTTTGACGAGAGTGCTTCGGAAAATGCAGACGGAGGCAGAGCTTTATCCTCTACCCCCCAAAACCCTGAACCATCAATGTGGTGCTCCAAGGAGTGAGTTTTTGCTGGGCCCATTTGCCAGGATTTCCTTGCTTTGTGCTTCGGCTAGGCGAGTGTTGACCCCTACCTAGACCTCTATACTACTCTATACCCTACCCTTTTTGAGGGGTTACCTAATTTTGTATATACGGGATACTCGGCAGTATAGAGGTCTTCCCCAGACCTTCCTATGTAGTTCGTTTTTTGGGTACTGTATAATCTTTACCATCCCCTACCCAAAAACCATACCCAAACCAAAAAAAGAAATACATAGGAGCCCTTGGGTATCCCTAAACCCTAATCTCTAAACACTAAATCCTTGTAAAAAGAGCGCTTAAAAAGAAAAACCCTAAATCCTAAACCCTAAACCTTAAAACCTAAGCCCTTCGATCCTAAATCCTAATCCCTAAACCCTAAACCCTATAAGAGCCCTTGGGTACAGTCTCCGAGGTGGGAGCCACTACGTCGACGCGAAGGCTTCTTGCCAGTCAACGGGAGGGATCGCTAACCAAGGATCCAACTAGCAGCGTTATTACATAGGAAGATGTTAGGGTTTAGGGTCTAAACTCCTTCAATGGGGTTATAAGGGCTTCTATAGGGGACAGTTATGGTGCTTATTAAGGGGTATCCCAACTGCCATTCAGATCATGGCATTTAGGCCCATATTTGAGTCCTTGGCCCCCCCCACTGAAACATGGGAACCCATGCCAGCGCAAACTAACTGATGCAGCATCTAGTGATTTTAAGGAACTACAAGGGTCCAAGGACCCAAATGTCAGCGCTTAAGGTCCAAAATACCATTCAGATTATAGTACTTGGGCCCTAGATCCCAAGTATTTGGGTCCTTGGACCCTTCTAGGAATAGTAATTGTGCAAGCCTAGGCGATCGCGAGCCGCCCATCGTCCTCATCCGAGGCGGGTGGGTGGTTCTGCAGTAGCTTCCATGGTTGTTGGGGGGAGGGTATCATAATCAGCATCATAATATACAATAATAATATGCTATGATATATAACATGCAATAATATACCATCATATACTATAATATACCATGACAATGTACTATCATAAGGAGTTGAGGGTTTGGGACTTCAGAAAGATCCATGGTGAAGTTTCTGCTGTTAGGGTTGCTGGCGTAATTTTTTTGTGCGATGCAATGTGCCTGAGCTTGCTCGCTTGCAAAAGTGGGCACGCACCGCAAAAATGATTGATTGGCCACCGTCAGTTTTCGCAACTGCAAGAGGTTTTTTCGCTTTTCTAGTAAATTCAGAGTCATGATTTGCCAGTTTGTGAGCTGAAGCTAGTGAAGGAGTGGCCAGAGCTAACGCTTAAAGCCTAGTAGACCTTTGCAAAAGCCCTGTAATGGCGCACAATGAGCTGCACCAAAAGGAGTTAAACCCCAACCAGCCCTTCAACCAGAAACCTCCGTCAAATCCAAAACCTTAAAGCCCAAACCCTTAGCCGTAGCCAAAGTGAAAACCCTCCCTGTAATCCCCTAGGTTACCAATGCCATACTGGGATCATTTTGTTGGGGGTTGTGTTTTTTGAGTTCTAAACCTCTAAACCCTAGAAGCCAGGCTCCTGGCTGGCCAAATTGGCCAAAGAAGGCGGTCGCCTGCCACGACGTCAAGAGCTCCCTCCCGAGGCAATTTGGGCGCCTTGGTCTGCGTTTAGAGTTTAAGAAGATAGGGCTTGGTAGGGATGATAATGGGGGTTGCCCAAATTAGGGGTATCTTTTGGTTTGGGGGTCCCAAGAATTAAGAAAAAAACATCTTGGAGTCTGTATTGGGTACCATACTTTGGGAAGTTACCTCATCAGTAAGTGCAAGCGGTAGACCCGCCCCGAGGAAGCGCTCAGCTTTCATGGCAGGTGAGGCTGAAAGGTTACGGGGTTTAGGGTATAGGTATATAGCGGGCATGTGAAGCAGAAGATAGCATTAGATCCTGCAAAAAGAGGAGGTCTTCTCTTGCAGTCCATCCTCAACGGGACTCTACACTTTACCATGCCAAAGCCTAACCTAAACCTGCTGGTTCGCCAGGTGGGGATCCAGGGATTAGATGATTCACAATCTCCTTTCAAGATTGAGGTTCGTCCTCATTGCAAAATGAAATCACGTTAGTCCCCACCCTCTCGCTTGAAACTTGAAACTAGGACTGCGATGAGCTGGAGAGAGATGCTGAGGACCGCTTGCATTGGGAGCCAGTCCACTCCCCCAAACCAATCTGGAACCACCAGCAGAAACCTGTAAAGACTACAATTCTGTAAAAAGGGGCTGTATGCGCTTCCATCTTAGTTTGGTGAGGTTTTGCTTTGCAGATCCGTATAGAATAGGGCTACGCCAGACCCTGAACCCTAGGGTTGAAATCCGCTGCCCCTCAAACCCAAACGCCGGGCTAAGCCCGAAGCCGTGGCCGTGAACAGTGTAACCCAGACCCCTGATTAATAACCCCCCCTCCCCTTAATAGAGATTATACCAGGGATAACGGAAAAGAAAAATGGAAACTAATATATGGTATATTGGGGTTATATAGGGGCTATATAGGGGTTATATAGGGATAATGGGATTATAGTAGGGATCCTATTATCTAGGCCCTTAACAGGAGAGGGGTTATTTATCATGGGTCTACGTTAGGAGTTCGACAAGGGGCGCCATCGGCTCGCCACGCGTGTCGTGGCAATCTCGCGCCTGGCTTGGTTTGATCTGCTTAGTGCTAACCTCGGACCCAAAGGTCCTGTAGGGATAATGGAAAAAGGACATGGAAACTATAGGGATACTGGAAAAGAAAATGGAAATATAGGGATAATGGGAAAGAAATTTATAGGGATAATGGAAAAGAACATGGAAACTAATCTTTAGGTGACCTGCATACTACTTATTTTCGAATTGAAGGGCTGGCACGAGCGTAATCTCGGACACAGGGAGCTCGAGTTAAGGAGATCATGCTCTCTACGGGGCAATGGGGTCTGTATAAATTCAGGCTTCCGAGATATATTATCTGTAGACTGGATTGCTGCTAGCATGAATTCTTGAAACAGCGCCCACTTGTTGAGGCATGCATAAGATGTTAAAAGCTCGAAGTGGTGTTCATCTCCTCTCTTGGAGAGGAGCATGCACGCGAAAAAGTGCAAGATTCGGCTCCCACTGATTCGTGCTTTAAGCCCTCGACCATGCTAGCCATGAACAGGTCCGCCACGGTTCTTGCGACGTTTTCTAGGTCCCGTAGCCACGGCAATCAACAACTGAATTTTGATCGAACTTCCCAGCTGCATCAAAGTTCAAAAGTGACATTGAAATCAGACAAGCTTGCCCTGTGACCTCATCCCGTCAACCTCACATGCGTCGCTCGCTCTCCCTCTCTCTCTCTTTCTCTCTCTCTCTCTCTCTCTCTTTCTCTCTCTCTCTCTCTCTCTTTGTCAACCTTTTTTCCCTCTTCCTGTCCCTATCCCCTCTTTCCCCCTCCCCTCTTTCCCCCTCCCCTCTTTCCCCCTCCGCTCTTTCCCCCTTTCCCTCTTTCCCCCTCCGCTCTTTCCCCCTTTCGCTCTTTGCCCCTCCCCTCTTTCCCCCTCCCCTCTTTCCCCCTTTCCTCTTTCCCCCTACCCTCTTTCCCCCTCCGCTCTTTGCCCCTCCTCTCTTTCCCCCTCCCCTCTCTCCCCTCCCCCTCATCCCCCCACTCCCTCTGGCAATGTTAAGCGGCACTGCACAAGCCGCCTAGGCAGAACCAAATGTAGGGCGCTAGATTAAAAAGACAATTGCCAATATCATGGTCCTAAATTCTTGGTAGACTTAGGTGTAGGGTAACACAAATAGACCCGAAGATGATGCTGGCAAGTTAGGCGGGTACAGTACACAAGCACGATGATGGTCGTGATTGCTTTGTGCTCAGGTACTGCTGGCTCCTTGGCCTGCATGCGATGGCCCGGTTCCGCGGGCTTCTCTTTTCTTGCCACTATATATTTATATAGATAGATGTATAAATATATACATATATAGATAGATATATATATATAATATGTAGCATATTTGGAGCTTTGCAGGCCTAGCACAGATGATAGCCTCCGCAGTGCACCTGCTACATGAATTTTGCTGCGCTCATGGCCTGCTGCGAGCTCTGGTCACAAGAAGGTGAAGGGTCCCTGTAGGTCTTGCGGGGTCAGTTTTTCGTAACGTGACACCTGCTTAGGCCTGATGATGAACTTCCTGTTACCTATTTTGTTCGAAGTAATTTGTGTGTTTCAATAAGGACTGACTCGCAGAATGACCGAAAACCCCAAAACCCCGAACCCTAAGCAGCGCAGACTTCTGGCGGTGACCAGAAGACTGAGGCTACGGTGCGAACACCCAGACCCTTGCCTGGATAGAAAGGGCACACGTGACTAATTGAGATTGTGCGTCCCGTTTGTTCCCGCAATACTACGTGCTGCACTGGAGGGCCCATAACGTTATCGACATGCCGATCCCGTGTTGAAACCCCATCATTTTGTGATGAACGGCGCGCTTACATTTTTGAATTTGAACGGACTTAACTGTGCACATCTATGCTTTCTTTCTCAAAAGCGGTGCCTGAAGTTACGGCCGAGCTTCACCGGTCAGGCTAGGGAATCATTAGGGAGCACCAAATATAGGGTTGTGGCATTGATCAGGGTATCTGTAGGCCTGGCCGAGGAAATGCTCCTGAAAACCTGTCCGATCTAGCTTTGCAGCGTTGCCATTCTGTTGCTCATAGGAAGACGATGTTTTGCGTAGTGTCGTGGGGCTGCATTTGGATTGTCTGTGGATCTGAGCATGGGTTCATCTGCGTATAGGTGTAAGTTTCTGACTTCCACAGATGCTCTACTTTGTCCTCGGAGCGGTTGTTGGTTGGTATTCAGGTTGGCTACTCCGGGCCGGACACGCAATAGAATGTTGAATAAACATGCGGGATGAGAGAGCTTCACATAGTTAACGAAGCTTACATTCATTGTCGTCTTGTAGAAGTCTTCCCCATAAAGCCTCGCGATGGCAGAAGATAGCATAAGAGAGCAATCTAACAATGCCCGGAAGGCTCCTAACTTTTCTATTTATAGCCTCCCAAAGTCTTCTAGTAAGCACTGTAGACTGTAAACATATCAACAAACAATATTCTCCAATACCTGCCATCAAGGCACTACGGACCTTTGGAATCTTTCTCCATGATTGAACCGAAAATTCCCATGACATCCCCCGTGAACCCCAAACGACTACTGGAAACATCCCGGCCAATCCTAAGCCCTCGACCATAAGAGCTGACAAAAACGAAGACGATGCAGTGAGACATGCGACTCCTGGTACTAGATCGAATCTCCAAACCCCGGCACGTATGAGCTACGGACTAAAGTAAGATTCGGGGGGACCTATAAGGGGATGTATAGGGGGTAACGGGGGACCTTAAAGTATTATGCTATAACTTCAGTCCAAGGCTCATGTGTGGATGCTTCACAGAGCAGGATCCCCTCACGTACCCTTTGTGAGAAGTGTCTTTTTGATATTGGGATTCAGATTTTTTGAAGCATCGATCCTAGGATCCATGTGGCACGCAGCTGGCAGCAGCAGGTGCTTTAGCCAGCAGCTGCCTTGAGGAGCTGGGTGCCTGGGCGAAAGTTGTGTTCTTCTCTTCCCTCAGCTTAAAGGGTTTGCTCGGAGGTGGATTGGGCTTGTCGGGTCCTATACGGAGTATGTGATGCAATTTAAGGGTTACATTCGGAGTTGATGGGGTGTCGATGCTACTTCCAATGGATGTCATGGGGTCTACGCAGGGGTCACTTAAAGATTATGTAGGGTCTCTGTGGGCACTCAGGACGCCTCTGCTGCCCGAGGTTTTGACGTTTTTGTCTGTTGTGATCATGATTTTTGGCGCTTGTCAGCTGTGCTTGTTAGTGTTTTGTTGCTTGAGGCTTGGGGGGTTCAATCACTTTAGTTTGCGAGGACCCCCCACCCTGCAATACTGCTTTAATAGGAATATAAGAGGACCCTTATATACTCCCTAGTATCCTTTATAGTCACTATCTAGGGTGGGTGGTCTACCTAACACTTTTTTTTGTATGTGTTTGTCCTTTCTGGCTTCGGTTTTGTCACGAGTTTTGTTTCGTTTCTGTGTGGTCAGATCTGTTGGCCTCCTCTGCCTCCGGCTTTCAAGTTATGCCCATTGAGTAGTATACTAAGTATGAACTGATAATACTAGACTAGAGTTTTGTGCTGCAAGCTTATGCTTATTACTATAGCTACTACAGGCCGTCTTGAGAAGGCGGAAAGCATGTTCGGTCCACGGAAGTTAGTCTCTTCCAAAGTTCCTTTGCCAAAAGCTAGGCGACGGTGTCGACCTGGCGATCTTCTTGGATTACTGCAGCCTCTTTCAGGTCGGGCTCATTGATCTGGGTTGCTGTTATGGAACTTAAATTAAGTTACCATAATGGGTATATATAGTAATTTGTAGGGATTCCCCAATATAGTAACTCAAATTAAGTTCCTTAACAGCAACCCAGTGATTTGATGTCTGGAAACAGTCAGGAATCCTTACCTAGACACAGGGTTTGGGAAATCCTCATGAAGAGGCGAAAAATGTATGAATTATAGTCTAAATTCCTTAAAGGGGTTTGTATAGGGGATTTCCAAGGGGGGGTATTATGCGTGTTCTTAGGGGGATATTGGGAGCGTAGACGATTAAGCCGGGTTCTGATTAACAAGCACCCCGCCCTCCAGCTGCCCCTCCCCCAAACAAGTAAAGGAACTGAATAGTCCGGGGACCCTCAATCAAATTTCAGCAAACTTGTTTTGGGGGGGTCTCGGGCCCTGTCAATTAACTTTGCACTGCCGGGGATCAATTCCAGTTCTCAATTTGGTGAAAAGTTCGTTCTATACTGTACCCATTTCATTAGTCCGTTCAGCCAAGAATTCGCTCTAGTACCAACGCATTTACAAATCCCAAGCTAACACTGGCTCTTATAGCACCCGTTTCCAGACCTCCCGTGGATTATCCAAGGCTAGCTCCTGCCAGGTCGCTCGGAGCTTCATGGAAGACGAAGAAGTACCCTTTGCCCTCAACCTTTTTCAGAGAAGCTACCCAAAGGGTCCATGTAGGTATATGGTATATACTTAGGGCCCAAAGGGGTTCCCATATACCTACTTTAAGGCCCAAGTATATCCCATATACCTACATAGACCCTTTGGGCTATCCACAGTCTCAACTTTTAAGCCCTAACATAGGACTCGAAAGCCCCCAGCAACAATTCCTGAGCTCTCAAGCTTCAAGCCTTCCAGCCCGCCTCCTGCAGCGTTGACAGCCCTTTCACCTTCGCTGATATGAGCTACGGTCCAAACTCCTCAAAGGGGGTTATATAAGGGATTATATAGTGGAGCATGGTAGGGGTTATTAATTAAGGGGATACTAGGAGTTTGGACTATGGCTCACATACGCTTCCACCGCCCCCCACATCGCTGCTTCTCAAGTCGAGGAGCCCCGCACTGAGATGGAGAACGAAGTGCCCTGGATGTGTTTTCCGGGTTTCCGAAAAAGGGGGGGGGGGGCCTTTTTTGGTAATCCCTGTGCGGAGGAGTACAGTATACATTGGGGTCTACGACCTGCTATTTATGGAAACTGCTGTTGGGGAAGTTTAGGGTTAGGGTATGGCATGGAGATGTATGGACTCAGAGTTCACGACTCTGTGCACTCCAGACGTCCTTGTGGATTTGGTCGGAAGTGTGTTCATTATCATTTTTTTTATCCCACTCTGTGAAAATCAAACGGTGCCGATCAGTGCTCAGCTTTCTGGCTTTCATGTTTTGCTGGATGAGATTTTGACCAAACCCAAAGGGTCCATGTAGGTATATGGGATATACTTAGGGCCCAAAGGGGTTCCCATGTACTTGCCAAGTATATACCATATAACTACATGGACCCTTTGGGAAAGGCCGCCCTCTGAGCTTCCCGGATCCAACCTCAAGACGTGCGGTCTATACCCAACCCCTCCCTACACTACCATTTGCTTCATCCTTAGTCCATTCCAGCAGTCCCAGCAAGCTCAGGTTTTTCAGGAAAGCTTGCAGCATGTTGCCATTTGGTATGCGCACAAGAAGACGCAGGCTGACGTTCAGATTTTCCTGTGCTACAGTTCATGCTTAAAAGCCCGCATGACCCCAAATACCTTACAACTTAGGAGTTCTGGGAGTTCAGTACATTCAGGTCCTTCAGGTCATGCGGGAATTTTAATATCCACCAGAGGGTTTGGGCGGCTTAAAGTTAAGATTCAAGGCTTAGGTTCTGGGAGTGAAGTTTCAGGCCCTGTGTTTCCCGGAGGCCGGACCATCCCTAGAAGCCTGTCCCATGATTGGCTGTGGAATCTGCCGCATGGGGCTTTCTGGATGACCAGGGCAACGCAACCCATCCCAACTCCTACACTCCTCCAAACTAACATGGAAACCCATATAGCCCCTTTTCAAAGGGACTGTAGTCTTTATAGGGCTCTTTTTGGGTTTCCATGTTAGTTTCCGGGAGAGTAAGCTTCAAGCCCTGAACATTTTCAGTACTGGACGAAGATCTTGAGAGGTCTGAGACTTGGGAGCCCAAGAGTTTGATCTATGATCCAAACCCAGTTCATGCCTGCAGCATTCCCTTTGGAGGATCCAGAAGGAACCTTTAAGGGCCATTTAAGGGGATCTACATTCTGGATCCTCCCGGGGTTTTGGGTGAAGTCTGCTTGAAGAAGCCTTGGCGCCTTCAGAAGCCACAGCTCTTTGAGGTTATATGAGCCATAGTCTAAACTCCTTCAAGGTGGGTTATATAGGGGATTATATAGGGGAGTACTATAGGGGTTATTAAGGGGGATACTAGGAGTTAGACTATGGCTCATATGGAAGTATCGGGACATGTTCGGATCCGCTCTGAGGGTCCAGATGCTTAGCAGGGACTATCTTGGGAACACTCATCTGTTTTGGACAGGTTTGAGGCTGCTTGGGGCTCATGACTGTTTGGGGGAGGCTTAAGGTGAGCACGCGCGCCTCCAAGCCGCAGCATCGTGCCTGACATTGCCATAACATTTGCAATGGTGACGGTTTTTGTGAAACATCACAGGTTTTGAGACCAAAGCCCGAAACACTTGTACAGTTCTCACAATGCTGGTCCCCCTTAAGTAGATAGAATATAGGGTATACGGGGATCTTAGTATAACATGTCCAAAGCCAGATTCTATCTACTTAAGGGGACTATATTAGAACGTGAACAAGGCCTCCAAAGTGTCAGAGCGCCGCGCCGACTTTCAGAAAGTCACGTTGTCCGAAATCCCGCGGTTCAGTTGCAGGTTTGGGTGCTCACCGTGACGCCCGAAACCTGAGCCTCATTTGCAGATAGGTTTCTGAGAGTTGGAAGTTGAGGTCTCTGATAGGCTTTTGGCTGCGTTCAGTGTTAACGGTTTTTCAGAGCTTAGACAGTCATTTCGAATTGAGTTCTAGTGTGTGTTATTTGCCGTTTTTGTTTTATGGCTAGACATTGCTTGTGGGGAGTAACTAGGTAACTAGCCTAGTTATCTTGTATCAGCCCCACGAAGATCTGTAGTCCATCACCTCTACGCATTTTTCAAAATAACCCAAACCTTATATTACCCTTGCATCCCCAAAAGGCGATTTGCTCAACACAATACTACATAATCTCGAAGGCGGACTCCTCCTATTCCGTGAGTGAAACCCCGAAGGCACCATAACCATTGATATCCCTATACAGTCCCACAAGGGCCTTGAAGAATTTTTCCCTCAGACGAGAAGCTCAGGCGGACTGCCGGTGGAGCTGGGTGGAACTGAAGTCGTGGAGCTACCGGTGCTACCCTATGACTCCTGGCCTCATCACCAAGTCGTGTTCAAGATGGGTGAGGCTCTAGGGCTGAGATTTAGGGTCGAAGGTTTCAAGGTTTAGGGTGTAAACCCACATGGAACCCCCCAAAAGGCCGATACGAACACTACTGTCCCTTCAAAAAGGGGCTACATTCGGGTTGCATGTTTGCTTGGAGGAGATGTTTCAATGTATGTACCAGCCAGCCATACGACTTTCAAGTGTCAGAGGTTGAGATTGGAACCTACAGATTTCAGCGAGCGCGGACCCCTAGGTTTCTTTAGCGAAGCGTATGGGCTATGTGGTCGTACAGGCTTCTTTGGAAGAATCCTAAACATGGGCAGCTGAATGTTGCTGGGACTCTGAAGTCTCCTTTCACCGCATGTCTCGAGCTTTCCCGGGCCCTGCAGGGGCTACGGCAACATGACTAAGGCTACTTAACATTGCGTAGGCGGCATTCAGCGTCCTTACATTTTACTGATGAGATAGAAGTACGATGTTTTTGGTTGATTTTGAGGTCATTGACCACAGAAGCATACTTCGGCCACATGCTCACCTTGCACAAGCATCGCTTCCAGTCCAGAACGGTATACGCATGATACGCCCAGATCTTGTTGATCTTGTTCTTCAGGTTAGCAGACTTGAGTTCCTGGATCTTGAACCTCATCTTTCTAGATACCAGCTCTGGCGTCCTGAATCCCAGCCCCCTTCAACTCTGCATGCATTGGATCTTCGCTTTGGCGGTTGAAGTCAACGCGGCTTAGGGTTTAGGGCCCAAGCTGCGAACTCTGAGGATGTACGGGGCTGGCCCAACTTCGAGCGTGCTGCGGCTGCCTTTAGGGCTGAGGGCTTCTGTGTTTAGAGTTCCCCCCCAGAGTGCTTGAGATTTGGTTCCAGTTTTCAAGCGGCCCATGAAGCCGGCAGAACCCATATATATATATATATGTATATGTATGTATATATATATATAGTTATATATATATAGCTATATGTATATATATAGCTATATATATATATACATAGCTATATATGTAGTTATAGATATATATAGTTATATAGTCTTCACAAGATTGCTTCCAGCTGAAGGTAACGTGGCCGAGCTTCTTGCTTGCGAGGCAGGCCTCTTGCCTTACTGGTTATTAGTAAAGCTAGGAAATAAGGGAAGATAATCCGAATGGAATAGAATCCCTATGTAATGTATTATCTTAGTCCCTACCAAGAACCAGTAAAGTACTCGCTGGTTGTTAGCAGGGAAGGTACAGAATGAATAGAAAAGACAGATGGAAACTAATGAATTCTTGGGTTTTTCTAGGGACTACTATCAGGATCTATTTGTTCGTTGCAGTCCTCCTGGGCCCAGCGTGAAGCTCGAGTTGTTCCAGAATTCTGGTTCCACATATTTGGCTTGGGTTGTTTTCTTCAAGGTCTGCGTGGCCTGAAGAGTCAAGGGCCACTAGAACTGGTAGGACATCAGCGTAAATGACGGACTTGCTCAGACACCACTATATAGTTCCTATGTCATATGGTCCCTTTCGGGGTAGTATATTACATGCATTTACATGCTATATGATGATCTTTCACCACAGTTCCATAACAAAACCAAGAAGGCTACATTGGAGCCTTTGGGTACTTTGCTGCGTTTGCCCCGTTCAAGTAAGCGCTCATCCGCTAAGCTGCGGCCTCGAAGGCAATGTATGCAGGATGTCGCGGCTTTGCTAGTCTCAGTTCCTTTCCCTGAAGCACTTTATCAAGGGTTCCCGAGTTGGACCCCTAAGCCTGCACCAATTGAAGGACCTAGAACTTATGGCAATAGCGGGCCCATACATATTGGGGGAACCTTTCAGGAGTACGACCCCTTAAACATTTGCCTTGATCAGGAACGATGCAGCGGCCGCTGCCCTCAAAACAACATCTCCCAGAAGCCGAATCGTAAGTCCCGTTGTCCCTGAGAGGCTGAAGGAGGTTCCTGCTTGTAATCGTACTTGGCCAGGAACCTAGCATGGTCTTTATCTAACAAGTAAACACTGGCCCTTGCAACCTGTTGCACTGCCTTTCCCGCCCGGGTGTACCTGTTTAGTGGTTGCTTTTGTTCAAGATGCACGCTTTTTGAAGCGACAAGGGGTTGGAAACTGGATTTCCTCGAACCTATGCTCGTCTTAAGTTGCTGTTTTTGTTTTGGTCGTTTGTACATAGGGTCTTAGTGTTGACATGTATAGGCCATTGGCACACTTACTACATCATTCCTACTTGTACATTACTTGCTACATTGGTTCTTGCTCGTCCTATGATGCTATTTAGTTGCCAAATGACATCTCTACATGCTTCGTGGAAGACATTCTGGGATCCTGCCAAAACCACCAGCTGTCTGCGGCATCTTTTATGGAGTTTGTCAAAACTACCCCTGTGGAATCCTTTGCAGCCCCACAAAATCTGCACCCATCCTTCGTACGTAATTCATCTGCACATATTCTCAAGGTCCCCCCAGAATTTACAATCCCCCAAATAACCCCCCCCCCCCTCAAGGAGTTTAGAGCTTAAACCCTAAACCCTATATAATCCCCTGTATAGCCCTCAGGAGTTTAGATTCTGGCTCCTTTGGGCTTCTGCGCCAGGGTGGAGCCGGCCAGTCCATACTTCTGATCAATGAGGCAAGGCTTTCAGAAGGGGGCTTAGGGTCTAGGGCCTAGGGTTTGGGGTCTAGGGTCTAGGGCTTGGGGTTTAGGGTCTAGGGTTTAGGGCCCATAGGGTTTAAAGTTAAGGATTTAGGGACGCGCTGTTTTTCTGGGCTCCCTAATCCAAAGGATCCTAAGTACATATATATAGGGGATACTTTACCCAAACCATGTCCCCTGTGTGATGTGTTCTTATTCTTGTGGGTTCCGTGGAGAAGGATTGTTCGTTTAGAGGTATGGAGTTTTCCAAAACTGGAGACCCCGTTCGCACCTCAAAGTACAGTTGTCATTGCTACTGGGAGCTGGGGACTCTAAAAGAGAACCTGAAGGTTTAGAAGCCCCCAGATTTTGAGTAGACTTGAATGTTTGAGAAGCACCGAGGGAGCGCTGGAGCAGCTCCTGCAGCCGGATCGGAAGCTGAGCAATAGTTGGGGGGAGTGGGCGGGGTTTTGTGGGTTTCGGGCTGTGGGCCAAGATACAGCCCGTCCTCAATGTGTTGAGATTCACGGATTTCGCGTTCATCGCTGAGGATATGGTATGTTGGCCGGAATGTATTCATGTGCCAGTGAGCAGAAGCTGAGCCAAGATGGCCTGCAGAGGGGATATTTGTTTGCAGCGTTGGTTGTTTGGTTTGGGGGTTTAGAGGATTCATCGACACGGTGCGGGCTTGAGGGTTCACAGGTTCTAGGAACACAGAACGTCCTGCGCACCTGCTAAGACCGCGCCAGCATGGTGCTGTGTCAGCTTCTGCATCGCTCGTCTTGTTTGACCACAGCCCCCCGATCCACCCCCGAATGACATGTAAGGTGGCCCCATACACAACCATCTGTTTTGCCCTTCATGAAAGACCTTCCCGAGCCCTGAACTCGTCTGTTTGAAGAAACTACTGTACTCGAAGCATGAAGGGCATGAATCGCGAACCCCAATCCCTTGTGATTTAAAATTACTGTTGCTGTTACTGCTGCTGTTATTATTTCAATTTCCATAGTCCCAGCATCCAAGGATGCCATGGCCCGAAGTGCTGGATGCTTTCAAGGCCAACCAGGACAGCTCACAAATCCAGTTGAATAATAGAGCTTGATGAAGCATAGTCTAAACTCCTTGAGGTTATATAGCGGATCATGTAGGGCGATAAGAATATTGAGGGGGCTGCTAGGAGTTTAAGACTATGGCTGATATGGGTAGCTCACTGTTTCCTTCCAGATTTGGGCTGGGGGAACCTTGACATCCTTGCATCTTACGCATATTCCCCCATCCACAGCCTCTAGTCCTTGAAAATAATCATAATGGTCGCTATTCGTTATGTTAGTGCTATGGTTACATTGAGCAATGGATGACAATCTGATTCGCACGCTCTGGCCCCAAGCAAAAATCGTTGAGAGATGTGCAGGAGCCCCCAAAGGTGCCGGACGCCTTCTGCGACCTGCGACACAACAGCACTGGCGTCGGGGATTGCTGTGTTTAGTGTTTGTACTTTTGCCACATACCCTACATGACTTCAGCATACCATAATACCCTCACTCCAAGGTACTAGGTGCTGAGGGTCAGACAAGAACTTGTAGTAGAATTCAGGAGAGTCGGCACGCCCGCATTCTGGAACGACTGACATCCTGCGGAATCACAGAGGGTAAAATGACTCAACTAAGGTCGCCCAAAAGCTTCGTGCCCCCTTCACAGCCATCGAAGCCCCAACGCACGCATCAAAACATTAACCTCCTCTTTAGAAGGACTCCCAGAAACGGGATCCCTTGCAAGACTTAAGCCAGAACTGCCATAACCCTATGTCTAGATCTCACTCCAGCAAAAAGCAAGAAGGATCCTGATCTATACTTGGCTCTTGTGATTCAGTAAGTCTACTAACTATCTAGTAAGTATCCACAAAAATCCATGATACATGTTCTTCATGCCCTGCCGCGAAGTATATTTAATGTACTTTGTAACGGCATGTTTTCTAAGTACAAGAAAGCTTGCAAGTACCTGTATTCGCGCCGGAACAAGGTTAGCGACAAAGACGTTCACTGCATCAGAGGATCTGAAGATGCTGCAGGCCCTGAGTTTTTTTTTGGAGGTTTACAGGGTTTAGGGGCTAGGGTTAGGGTTTAGGGTTGAGGATTTAGGGTTTATTGTGCGGGGAGTTGGGGTTTAGGGCCTACGTTGTCAAGGAAGGTTCTGATTTTAGGCTGAAGGGCATTGAGGTTATTGTAGAAGCCTGAAGAGTTGGGCCCACAACCTTTCTATGATGCCTTTACTTGGGCAGTTCCCAAATTCAGGGGTACCTTTTTAGGGGTCCCCATAATAAAGACTATAGTATTTGGGGGGTCTATATTGGGGTCCCCTTACTTTGGGAAAATACCACTTATCGGCTGACATGGCTGCATGCGTTGTGAGAATCTTGCGTTTACAGCTTGGTGGATGGCAAAGAATTATTTTTGTCATTTTTTGTTGTCATTTCTGTGCCTTTTCTGTGTGTCATTTTCTTGTCATTCTGCTCT